GGGGGGTTAGAGCATGTGAGAGAGAGATCTAATACGGGGGGGGGGTAGAGCATGTGAGAGAGAGATCTAATACTATTGGAGGAGGGTGAGTGGGGCACTGCCTGTCTGTACATGTGAGAGAGAGTGAGAGGGGTCAGTTAATGTGGCTGAAATGCAGTAAAAATTTCTGCACTAGAAGCTGCACATTAAAACTCACATTTCTGATGATGTACTAACATCAAATGGAGAAGGATTGTTACTGTGCATGTTTTGTGTGCTGTGTTAGGGATAAAGGTATCATACTAACAATTGGGGAGAATGAGTGTCTCTCAGTCCCATCTTATCACCAAGTTTGTTTCTTCATGTGGCAGTTTAGACCACCAATATCAAGTTGTAAAGTTTATCTGTAACACATGTATTGAAATCCTAATGCAGTTGAAATAAAACACAACGCGTTTGTAGTGTTTACACTAAAGCTATATTTTTTGCATTTCAGAGATGGCGAGGGAATCCAGCTGGATGAAAACCTTTTCCAGGGTCGGACAGAACGATGTAACACCTTTGAAAATGAACCTTTGTGTGAAGACGGAGATTTCCACTGCAAGGTTGTGGAAGTGTTCGGCTTCAGTTAGCCAGCATTGGACTGACCATTGCTCCACAGACTCCAGGTCTGACCACACGTTTACTGCTGAATGTCTGCTTTTGATCTGATGAAACAGCTCAACAGTTACTCAATACGCAAATACAACAACCTGGACCAAACGTGCCTCCAACAGAAAGTCTTCTTCAATGTGTTGTTGGAAGTAATAACGACATTAGTATCGTAACATACTCGTTGTTGTATCCTGAAGTATCTTGTGTGGTTTGGATTCTGTTGAAGGCTCAGGCATTCTGTTAGAAGAGGATAATAATGGGATATAGATTGTTGATGGCATCACAGTGAAGGACAAGGGTGGAGGTTCACCAAGCAGAAGATGATTATTGTTACTTCTTGTTGCTTTAGCCCCAAGTGTATTAGACTGTATTGTACTGAATGTGTTAAATGTGACAACACTATTGGAATGTGTTAGATGTGACAACACTGGCAGATTGTGTTAGGAGTACCAACACTAAAGTACATGTTAACTGGTTGCATGTTGGTTGGATTTTGAATTGGCACATTTTACACAGCCGCAGTGTCAAGGTTTGCAGAAGCTGCTTTTTGCCATGGGATTCTCTGATGTCACAATAAAAACAACGCTGTTGCACATTTGATGCTGACACGTTCATGGAAAATGCTGAAAGAGACTTTTATCGATAACAAATATAAAGCATGTGCTGTTCTCTTGTGGTGTTGTCTTGAAGACCGTGTCCTTGTTGTAAAGGCCGCGTTGTGTTATATTTGTATATGTGGCAATGACTTCCATAGATATGTATGGTATTAGAAGAACAGTGAATGGCACAATACGATAGTAGGCCAACATATCTTTCACTTCTGAATATTGGTGAGAGTCTGTGATATAGCTGTTAAAACTCCCACGCACAGATAAGCTTTACTGTAAGACTTTAGTTTAGATCTTACCTTGGCTATTATTGCCACCTGCCTGTCTTGGTAACTAGCTCCATCTATAGTTGAGAGAAAGTGGGGATTCTGCCCTCAATTGACTATGTTCAGTATTCAATAATACTATTATAAAGATTATTTTCCTTTCAAAGTGGTGGACTTAGCCTGCTTTCTTCAAACTTAAACCAAAGCCAAGGCAATATAGGCTGCCCTTAACCAACTGCATGTAATTTTATGCCATAATCAAATATTAATTTATCAGGATATCTTTGATTATTTTCTGTAAATAACAAACTTGTCTCTTGATATATAGGCCAGTGATATGATTCTTGTCATCAATATTAGAACTACTCTTAAAATGATTGCTTGCTTATTGAAAAGTACAGTAATTAAGCCTTTCTTCAGTCAGTAATGTGAATGGATAAACGCTTAAAAAAAAGGTGTGGCAATGAAAAATGTGTCAAAAGCGGGTTTGGCCTAAGTAAGATGATATCCACTGGAATATGTCTATAATAACAATATTGACAAGAGAGGAGGTTGTTGCAATATATTTCCTTTGAAGGCCTTCTAAGAATGATGGCTGTAGGACTGAGACTGATTTGTTGTATTCAGCAATTTACTAACAACGGAAATGGACTGTCCGGATAAGATTTAGCATGTTTATAGTGCACTTTTCTGCATTAATTGTAAAATATTTCAACACTCCTACCGATAACACAGACACATAGTATTACCCTCATTAGGTAAGTCCATTATACTTGCATGATTAAATTAATTTGTATGATATGTATATACTAGCCTGCTTTCTATCTATGACAGCTTGAGGGTGTTCCAAAACCTAGTGTTGGCCTCCTGCTGAAGTTTAAACTGAAATATAATTGCATCTTTGTCTGAGTGTAAATTATTTTGCATTCAGGTTTTCAGTTATTCATTTGAATCCTATCATCATTTGTTGCCATACTTCTGATTATAAGTTCATTAATTTTAAGCAATAAAAGCTAGTTGCTTGATGGAAATCTGACTCTGCTGTAGATGTAGTTATGTAGTAGTCCATCACAGTTGTGACATTTTGTTTCAGTGGTACAGTGCAGCTGTGACATAAGTTGCCATTGGTACAGTGCACCTGTGACCAGCTTAGTTATCACCATTTATGGTAGTATCGAGTATGACATTTACAGATAATGTAACATCTGAAAACTTGTAAAATGGCTTTGCCTAGACAGGTTAAGTCAAGTGAATTAAGAAGTATATAACACTTACAACAAGTAAATATTCAGTCTCTTTTTGTGTTGTTGATCATCATAATTTATGTACCTACAAATATTGGTTATTTCCCAAAACTTATCTCTGATATTATACTTGCATTGTTAATATTCAAAAGGTATGGATGATTCACTAGATAAAGTAATCAGTGTTGTTCCTTATGGATATGTTTTCACACAGGTTCTCCATCAATTCTCCTACTGTACCATTTATTATAGTGGTCCTTTCACTCGTTATCTCCAAATGTTTTGGATCAAACAGAATGTGTTAGATGTGACAACACTGGCAGATTGCGTTGGGAGTGACACCTGGAGGTGTTGAAATGTATTCAATTTTATAAAAATCCTTTCTTAAATTATAAGTTAATCATGAATAATGACACATTAATTTTTTCAAGTGGAAGTGGCTATCAGTTGCTTCAAAGGTAATTTTTCCTTAGTAAAATGTAGGTTTATCATCTAAGGGTGAGCGGTTGTACCCACAAAAAACTAAAAAATCCTTGATTGACATCTGTCTTATCTCTGTTTAGCATATGTTTATTGTGTACATGCTAAAGTTTTGTTCTATTTGTGGACGTGAGATCGAGACTGATCAAGAAAGAAGGGCAGTGCAGTATTGTAAATATGTCATTTACTATTGTGTAATAAATTATAATGTTGTACAGTGTCTGCGCTCTCATTTTTGTTATTTTTCATAATGCAATATCTTAGTACTAGAGACGGCCTATTCACTTCTATACATTCTACCAAAAAAAATTTGGAAACATGAAGTTGTATTTCAGTGATTAAAAAAATATGTATTTGAGTGGGAAAATCTTCAGTGTATATAAAATGTAATGAATGTTGGGTGCATTATCCACCAATGTTTGGTCAAAATATTTATCTAAGCTAATATGGTTATTTCATAATTTACTCAAAATAACTTTTTTGGGTGAGTCTTTATTCAGCATGTGAAATTTTGATTTTCTTTTCATTAAAGAATTTTTTGTTTTTTTCGTGCAGAATTTTTCTTGCATTCGAGTTTGTTATAATTATCATGAAGTTTATCATTTTACGATAATTATCTTTATTAAAAGAAATTTCGCTTCGCCTGAAAACACTCCAAGCCTCTCAGTCTTGGTCTTCTCTACCACATTTCGTTTGTCTAAGCCGCAAAGCATTCTGGTAACCCCCCCCCCTTCACTTCCCCTCACTTCCGGCCATGGCCAGGAGAGAATGTTGCTACTGTACGAAGCTTCCAAGGACCGGTGTTTTGCTGACTTAAAGTGAGTATTTAGGCACAGACGTCGACCACTGAGTAGCATTCGTAAAAGGAGTGCTTTGAACTCTCCCGGAAATTAACGGTACAGTCTTTCCTTTCAATGTTTTGGTTCAGCTTCGCCGCAGCCCTTCAACGTTGCACTCGTGGATTGTAAACACATGTATACGTAGTACGTTGCCTAATTTTCACACACTGACCGAGTTCACTATTTTCAGAAACCGTTACGTACTGCTATATGTGGAAGGCCCCAGATGTCATGAAGGCCCCCCGACAAAGTAAAAAACAGATGTTATAGCTGATCTTGAGAAGGTCATCCCAATATGGCGGAGCAGGACAGCGATCTGGCAGTACGGGACCCAGGCTACGGGGACGCCACCATTCAAAGTCTGAATCTGCTGAGGAAAGATGAACAGTTGTGTGATTTCACAATACGTGCTGAGGACCGAGAGTTTAAGGTGATACAGTTAATATTGAAGATTTACTTCAGTGTTGGAGTTGACAAAGGGGTTGATAGCAAATGTCTAGCTTTATTTATTATTGTTTAAAATATTTTGACAATTTATCGGCAACAGAATGGTTCTTAATGACAAAAGCTGATTTTTTGTTTTCGTTGTTTTTTCTTTTTTTTTTTTTTTTTATAAGAAGAGTATAGTTGGCAACTCAGAAGTAGTGTAAACAAATGGCACTGGAAAATATCTATTAATCAAATGGTGTCTACCATGTTAGAAATAAAAACAACTATTTTACACCAATGCAATGCACATAACACTGTTCTTCCTTTGTCTAGGTGCACAGGGCCCTGCTGGCGGCTGCCAGTGACTACTTCCGTGTCATGTTCACTGGTCACATGCGTGAGAGCAATGAGAACTCTGTGGAATTAAAGGGGATGACGGCTGACTCCCTCCAGCAGATCATAGACTTCATGTACTGTGGTGAAATCATTTTGAACTTTGACAATTTGACCGAGGTTTTGAATGCTGCCAGTCATTTACAGGTAAAGCATGAACCATGGTAGCTTTTTTATGTAAAATTATTTAAGAATAGTTTAAGTGAAATCGAAAGATGATCAGAATTTGTGCCATAGAAGTATTTGCAGAAAAGTGCAGCTTCAATGGAAATCATTCCTGTTAAATTTTATCTTAATAGGGTGACAAGCAGGTTTAGAGATACAGGGGATATACCCTTGTCACAATAATGCAACAATATTTTATTCATTCCAGGTCAACAGAGCATTAGACCTGTGCTGTGACTTCATCCAGTCCAAGTTGAACTTTGAAAATGCGGATGAACTTCTCCAGATAGCAGACGTCTATTCTCTGAACAAAGTCACGGACCACTTTGACGTCCATATTCTGGACAATTTTGAGGCATTCAGTAAAACTGAAAGTTTCATCAACCTTGATGCTAAGAAACTGATACAGTACATATCGAGCGATGCTCTAAAGATATCATCGGAATTCCGTCTGTATGAGCTAGTCAATCAATGGCTACACCATGATAAAGCACGCTTTCAGCACGCTGAGAAAATTATGAGTCATATACATTTTGCGTTAATGACGCAGCCTCAGTTGCAAAAAGCGCGGGAGGACTACCTCATGCGGACCAACACTAGGGTCACTCAGTACGTCATCGAAGGTCTTAAATATGGCCTCGATGTCTGCTGTCGCCAGCCTGTGATTAACGAACGTTCTGAAATTCGTACAACAAAAAAGAGCCTAGTGGTTATTCACCAAGGTTCAGCATTTCGCCCATTCCAGGTGACAGCGTTCAACCATGAGCGTGGACTGTTCTACAAGTTGTTCAGTAACACCAGTGGTAGCTGTGACTGTCGAGTGGCCGTCATCGATAACTTCATATACATTTGTCGTATTGTAGATTTTGGGGGCGGAACACTGATGAACTCCTTGTGTCGCTTTGACCCCCGCCATTTGCAGGTCCAGGAGCTCTCCCCAATGAAGAGACTGAGGTTAGACTCTGCACTCGTTGCAATAGGCCATAAGTTATACGTGCTGGGAGGAGGCAGTGAGAATCTGTTTGTGCTGGACTCGGTGGAGTGTTATGATGTCAACACCAACATGTGGACAGACGAGATCCCCCTTCTGGAGCCCACCCACTCCCATGCAGCCACCGTCACTGATGATAAAATCTACATCTCAGGGGGTGTGTCCAGCACGGATAGACAGCCCGTCAACACATTTGCCAGTTTTGATCTCACGACGCGCACGTGGGAATCCAAACCTGGAATTTTCTATGCGCGACGACTGCATGACATGGTGGCCATCGACAGGAAGATCTTTGTTCTGGGCGGGATAACCCGTCATGGCGTCTCAAATACTGGACAGACCCCCATTGAGTGTTACGATATTCAGACAGAGCAGTGGACACTTCTTGCCCACACATTCTCTGGACGATCTATAGGTCACTACATAGCTATGGAAGGCAAGATCTACTCCATAGGTATGCTGACACAATTTCTTTATCCAGATCACTGGACAAAAAAATAAGGTTTCTAAAATCAACAAGTGAAGCACTTTCTTTAAATTGCTCCTGAAGATGATAGTTTAATTAATACAAGTAGTTTTGTGTGCATATCATATGTGTACAATTCTGATTCCTCAATGTGTCAGTGTGAGGGCATGTTCCGCTCTTTAACCATTTTATAAATTTGGTGTAGGCTTGAATATAACATTCTTCAAAATGATCATACACAATTTCATTTCTTGGTAAGTCGGCCGTTTAAAATTCTCCAGTACAATTTTCATTATTTATTAACTATTGTTTACGTTATCATGTCTGATTTCAGGCAGAGAGCATTACAGCGCGGCGGAGGACGAGATCTGGGTGTATGATCTCCCTACTGACCAATGGTCTAAGCTGGCCAAGGCTCCCAACCACATGAATCTTTCCTCGGCTGTCTGTACCAAACTGTTCATTAATTTTTCTGATGAGAATGTGGAACGTTTGAAGATCTGAGAAAGTACACTTTAAAAAAAAAAAAAATATATATATATATATAGTCACTGCTAGGATTATAGGTGCTAATCATTACAATTTGGACAAAGAAAAATCAGTTCTCAATTCAAAGTGTAGTGCACTTTAAAAACTTGCACAGAGCAACACATTCTACAGGCATGGACTTTTCTTGTGTAATAAATAACAAGCCAGAAAAGAAATTCTTATTTTATATTCTGCAGTCCAGTCTTTTCTTCAAAACCCACTAAACATTGTTAATAGCATGTCTGGACGAAGTAGAACCTTTTTTTGGGGGGAGGGGGGGGTATTGTTGTTTGATAGCAGGAAATTATTTGAGATTTCAACATAAACAGCTCTTTTTGTGAATCACTTTATCATTAAATGTGGGTGTTAAATTTTTTTCTCTTTTTCAACAACAGAAACAAATTAGTTTGCATTTCTCACACACAAGAAAATGTTAAAGTATATCCCCTTTATCTGTAGTAATATCAAAACTATAAAAATATCAAATTATCCATCCAAACAACACATCATCAAAGAGTTTCCAGAACAAGTTTTCTCCACTTTATTCGCTCAACAACAATGCTAATTTTTTTTTTTTTTTTTTTTTTTTTTTTTGTTTAAGAACAACATTAACAGGGTCTTGTGTCCAGGTAATTTCCTGAAGTATTCCACATTTCTGCAGTGAGTTTGCTGCATTGGCACTTTGCTTTAAAAAAAAACTAGAACAAAATTCTACCTCTTCCATAGTATTCCACATTTTCACACTGGTTACATATAAACAACCACTAAAACCACATTCAGTATCCAGGTCCATCTTCTCCATAGTACTCCACATTTTCCTATGTTTTAATATAAACAACCACTAAAACCACATTCAGTATCCAGGTCCATCTTCTCCATAGTACTCCACATTTTCCTATGTTTTAATATAAACAACCACTAAAACCACATTCAGTATCCAGGTCCATCTTCTCCATAGTACTCCACATTTTCCTATGTTTTAATATAAACAACCACTAAAACCACATTCAGTATCCAGGTCCATCTTCTCCATAGTACTCCACATTTTCCTATGTTTTAATATAAACAACCACTAAAACCACATTCAGTATCCAGGTCCATCTTCTCCATAATACTCCACATTTTCCCTGTGGTCTCTACTGTTCACGTGGGCACTGTAAGGCTTGGGTCCATTTAACTGTTTATCACAGACCTTACAGTAGTACTGGTCACTTCCCTGGCTCGCGGAGTCCGGACTGGACTTGGCATAGGCGGACACATATGGCTTGTAGGGACCTGAGAGAGAGAGAGGATGGAGATTTTGTTTTACTTGATAAATAAAATCTTTAAGATTTCCAGGAGTTCTCTATATCTCGTATGTGCTGATTGGTCAAGCGATGATAATCAATCTGATATGGTTTCTTATTAAAACTTCATCTTTTCATTTATTACCCCCAGTTGTTTTTGGTTCCCTTAGTTTGTCCGAGTGTTACATTATGCAAAAATTTATGCACAGGTTTTGAAAAATTTTCAGAAATGTGCTTACTTAAAAGTGACTAGATGGTGATGATCCATCAAGTAATTAATGGTCATTTGGTAGATAATTACTTGTCTTGGCTGAGGTCTGTATTCCCTGGGTTTTGAGTGCTTTAATTCAAGTGTATCTATTTGTTAATATATTTATCTGTATATTCACTCCTTCACTGCACATTATGTGAACTAACATACTGCTTTTTTGATGAAACTCTCTATTACCAGGAGCTGTTGTCGGTTGTTTAACTGCCCTATTCTGTAGCCATGGCAACGAGGTTGGCATATCATCCAGCACCTGTCAACAAACAAATATATCTTTTATCAAATGTTACGTCCCCATGGAAGGATTATTTTAAAAGTTGATACAGTTTAAAATGAATATTTCCAGGTCATGAACCAAATGCTTTTCTAAGTGTAGGGCAGTTTTATCTGCTTGTGACTTATCATCAGCAATGACACTGTGCTAGTGTGTCAAGTGTGACAGTGTGTTAGGTGTGACAATATGTTATATAACAGTGTGTTAGATGTGACAATTTTTTTAATGTACACCAGACATTGGACTTGACTCACCATCATATAAGAAGCAGGCACATATCCCGTCTGACCCTCTCCATTCCTCACTAGCCACCAGTGCTCCTCTGTCCCATGTTTCTCCACCAGGAACAGGTGCTCTCCCTGAGTGACGCTCAGTTCTGGCTGTCCTAGAGGACTGGCTTCAGCAGCCTTATAGCTGTACTTGGCCAGCAGTTTCTTGTCTGTTGGTTGCTCTGAGGAAAAAATGTATTATTATACTCTACTATGAAAGAGGTTTTTCATGGTCTCTAGACAGGATGATAAAAAGGAATTATTCTTAGTTAGACCCCATTTCCAGAGATTAGATCGACCTAACTCCCTGGGGGTTCATGCTAAATAGCTGTCAGCTGAGCGGACACGAAAGTTAATTACCCCCTTACAGCTTGTAGTGGGCGGGACGGACATTTAAGCCGGATTATCTGACAGTAATCTAGTGAGACTCCCCGCAGGGATAGATCGATCTAAAAGCTCTGGGAATACAGCCTTAGAGACTAAATAACATCAGGCAAAGGTTTTGCTCATCAACACTAAATAGTGTAAATATTACCCCCTAAGAAAAGTTAAAAGCAACAAGGACGAGATTACGTTCATGCACCTTGTTCCACTTCTACATTCTGGTATTTAACAATGTTACCCTACCTCTACTGCCATTTGCCGGCTCCTCTTCGTGATCTCCCCTTCCTGCGTGTGGTTCAGCGGCCGTGGCGGAGAGCCCCGAAGGATCGGAACATCGACTCTGCTGAACTTGGGCCGAATTTGAAGCGGTTTTATCCAAGGGTTGCCAGCTTTCCAAGCCGAACACTCCCCAGCCGCACTTCTGAAATTGTCCCGGAGCAGGCATGGCAGTCCACTGCTACTTCTACTTGTATTGTAAGATTTATTTAATGTTTTCCTTCACCTCTTGCGTCCACTAACAACTGAGATGGCGCGCCATGTGGTTTGTACAGATACACGCTAACGCGCGACATTTATTGATGCCGATCAAACGCGAGTAAAAACGTGCCCTTGGAAAATTCTAGCTATGAGATGCGACCATGATCAGCAGTCGCAATCCGCTACTGAGCGGGACCAAAAAAGTTTCATCTCTCGTCAAAAATTAGTCCTGCAACGTTATTTGTATACCATTTTTATGCTTTCATCAAAGAAGAATCCGGGATTTACATGTGTAAAAATTAGCTAGTGAGTGTACATGTATTCTACATAGTAGACCTAAAAGTGACAATAAATTGAATTCCATTCCCTAAGTGTAGCGCCTTTAAAAGAATTGTCACCATATGTCGAGCCTTACACAGTGTTTAAAGTAAATTGTCGGAAGAGCGTAATTGGGGGGGGGGGGTCATAAATTGATACAAGATCGAATAAATATGGCGGGGCCAAGTTGTAAAAAGCAGCGTGTGCATATACTATAAGTTAAAAAGAAAAATTAATCCGTGCTTTAATGGGTTAAGCCTTGTATTCACCAATCAATTGTGCTTCACTACAAATTCCATGCTAAAAAGATTACACTAACTAGTAGAGTATCTACCTTTAAAAACTTTTGAGTTCACTTATTGCCCATTTATATCTCTGTTGCATAAAAGCCACATGCTGCCCNTTAATCCGAGCTTTAATGGGTTAAGCCTTGTATTCACCAATCAATTGTGCTTCAATCAATTCCATGCTAAAAAGATAACACTAACTATATACCTTTAAAAACTTTTGAGTTCACTTATTGCCCATTTATATCTCTGTTGCATTAAAAAGCCACATGCTGCCCCCCTTATGCACTGCACAGTTTTACAGCCTTTAACCTCCCCTGGCCAATTATAAGAACTGGTGTTAATAGTTAAACAAACAAGAATTACTTTAGATCTGACATATATTTCTAGTTAAGACACGCAAGAAAATGCATGTTTGTACTTCTCACGCTGTCTTTTTATCATTAAAAAAAAACAATAAGCATTACGTACGTCGAATTCCAAAATCGCGGCAAAGACCACGATCCTAAACTAATGTTGCGTTCTCAATCTAGAAGATTGTACCCCGTAACAGAGAATCCGCTTCCCGTTCGTATGTACATGTAAGCCTCGTCCCAGTTAGATCAGGCTAACCCTAACCATTATCACTATATAGAGGGCGGACTTTCTGTTACACGGACCCTCAGTTTCATTACACAATATTACGCTGTCTTTTAGCAAAAAGAAAAGGCGTTAAATTGGCTACTGACATGACCTGGGACAAGAAAAAACTGGTCAATTAAACCATTTTGCACAATATCTTTTCAAATGTTTTGGTCTAGTCCAAAATATGAGTTCTTGGTAAGTCTGGTCCCATTAAAATATGTACATTTAGTACATAACAGATCATATAATATTGCACCAACTAAACCATCCTCCTTCTCGGTGTCCTGTATTCCATTTAGGTTTTTCTGGCCCATTGCTTTCACCGTCCTCGAAATCGTACTCCAAGTCTCCAGCAAGGAGGCGCGCTTCACGAGATCTCGCGTTACTAGGAAGCTCAGTGACTGTGTTCACTTGTTTGATATCATATTCTCCTAATACATTGACGTCTTGGGAGGACCAGTGTGTTGTCATCTTTAGATTGTTGTACGCCTCTCTCCTGGACTCCAGATCGGCTTGCGTTGCCCATGCAGCGGGCGTCATGGAAACCATTGTAACATAGCGCCACCTACCAGGGTGTTGGCGGCCTTTGATTGGCCGGATATTCGCGTGAACGGTGCGCGAATCCCAGATGACTATTGATCCCTTTGGCGCTGGGATTCGTTTCACCTGGCATCCTCTGTCTTCAAACCATTTTATTTCACCCGGTTTTTCAAATGGGTAAAAATCGGTGATGGTCGACATCTTTACTGCGTTGGGAAAGGTTTTGCAGAATGCCTGGTGATACTTGTGAGAGCCTAAAATCGCCTACAAAGAAGCGGTTGCAATCAGTTTTGAACATAATAGTAAGATTAAAGAGAATTATATCTACCGTGAATACAGTACAGTGATTTAGAGATAAACAAAAAAGTGGAGCAGAGAAATGGGGTACGTGGTCTGGCGCCGAACAAAAGCTGTTACAATTCTATAATACACAAACACAGGCCTACTGCCTACTTTTTTAAGAGCACCGTACTGCGTCATTGCGATAGGTGCGATTGCTGGGTGTGACATTGTGTTAGCGGTGAAACTTGTACAACACGGAGTTCATACCTGAAAGCACCAATCATCACAGTCTGTGTCCTCCAGGTACACGCCCCCCTGGTAAGCATGCAGCCCCTCCTTATGAGCACCCTGGTCAACGTGAAGCCAATGGTAGCCAGGTTCTGGGGAGAGATGAAAACACAGCTCATAGAATGTGTTAGGTGTGACAGTGATTACGTACTAAAATGCAATTGCACATTGGTGCTATGTAACTTTTTGTCTTTTGTCTATACTGTATATGCAATGTGTTGGATTTGGAAATGTAATGCGTTAAAAGTAACATGGGAATGAATGTGATGATTTAAAGGGGCCGACTGAGCCAAGCAAAATGTGTTATGTGAGACAGTGTCAACAATACAAGCCTTTATTAAGATAAAAAATAAGGACTTGGTGGGCTAAATACCAGCAAACTCTGTTACTCCATCCTCCGGTGGCCGTCCTATGGCTACAGCGTCAATGCTGCTCCACAGTTTGCCTGTTCCCCACAGCTCCTCAAACACCGCCTTGGACTTCAGACGGATAGCCCACGACGCCTCCAAGTGGCCAACTTTGAAACTAGTGATCAGACCTTTCATGTTGGACGGCCACCTACCGTCTGGATAAAGGTTTGTGACCCAAGTATAATACTGCTGCCTATAGGTGTCGCTTTCGAGGCTGGATAAGAGGCCCTCGACGACCACCACGCCTTTTTCGTCAAGTTCCTGCTTCATACTTTGGCTATTTAAGCATTAATAAAAACGGAAAAATAGATTAATTGACTGTAAAATTATTTTTTCCTACATATCGATCAGGCCAGTCGTCAAATTGAAAATTGAAAGATTGGTAATTAATAACGACTCTGTAAACATGATATAGGGCACGCTGAGATTTGAAATTCGCGGGATTTCGTCACTTCCGGGGACATGTAAGATTTTGCACAACTTTTATTTAATTGGGCGGTCTAATCAATTGTCCACAGCTGTCAACGTGGTTTTCTGCTTCGATTTTTGGTGAAGTCGCCGAAGTAGAAAGGAAAACTGTTTTTTCGGTTCCCTGTGGATGAACTCAACCAGGGCTAATGGAAAAGACTGTGTTGTTAGGTTTTGGCAATAATAATAAGTTACTTACTAAAGACAAAGCTGTCCCCGAAATGGGTACGTTGAGCGATAACGTTGCAAATTCGCGGTAGAGGGGTTGTTGGTGGTGGTTTGTCTTTCTGGGGAAATTCTGATATACAGCCTCAAATATAGTCTTAAAATAAACGTTTTCTTTACCTCTACATTGTGAAAGGCCATTGCCTTAAAACCACGAAGTTTGTACATCTATTTCATATAGGTTCGTCACATCTAAATTTGCTGAAATGTTTGGCATACTGAATTCTTTTAAGCTGTAGGAAATTTGAAAATAAAAAGAAAACCCTTAAAGTTATTCGTACTTCAAGCCAATCTTACCTCCATCCTGGTGCACCAAACTTCACCATTCTGGCTAAACTTTCAAGACAACTTTTGGTGGAATCTTTTCACAGTGATTGTTTTATGTATCATCAAACAATTAAACGTGATAACAAAGCACATCAGTTCTTCGGTTGAACCTCAGCCCACTTTTATATATATATAGAGAGAGGAGACTTATCACGATGACGTCATCTAGAGGCCTGATGACGTGTTACTAGCCACGTGCGCCGTTACACTGTTACTGAAATATACTTGTCACATTTAGCAAGTAAACACGATAACCTCTTATCTCCATTGACTTATACTATCTGTATTTACTTATAATATCTGTACATAAACAAGTAGCGTTAAAGCGATTCTTACTTTGAGTCGGTGGCCTCATTTAAAAAGTTCATTTCAAAATTATTATTTATTATTGTTATTTGAAAGTTTGTGCATTGTGTCGGCGAGTAAAAAAATACCCCTCTCTGGCAATTGTCAAAGTTGATAGTTATGTTGAATTATCTAGAAAGGATAAATAGATCGAACATACATCGGGTTTGAATACTGTACATAAAAGGTTAAAGGGATAATAACTCTTCGTTTCGGCCAAAAAAATGAATTTTCTGGAGTAAACAACAATTTTTCCATACTTACCAATGGTTAATGAATCCATTTTTACATTCAAAGTTCGGCCCTGGTTTTTTCTAAAAAATTTGGTTTTTTGTTAAAATCTCTTAAAAGATTTTAACAGAGCATAGCCATCAATGGAGGTCACGTGGTCTAAAGACAAGTTCAGATATCAGAATAATAGCTATAACTGCCGTTTTGTGGTAAAACAGAATATATTATATTTCTGTGAGTTATTCACAATGTTTTCATTGTGAAATATAGATCTCATACGAAGAGTTATTATCCCTTTAAAGGTACATACGAACCGAGTATTGNAGCGCCTTTAAAAGAATTGTCACCATACCATATGTCGAGCCTTACACAGTGTTTAAAGTAAATTGTCGGAAGAGCGTAATTGGGGGGGGGGGGGGGGGGGGGCATAAATTGATACAAGATCGAATAAATATGGCGGGGCCAAGTTGTAAAAAGCAGCGTTTGAATATACTAAAAGTTAAAAAGAAAAATTAATCCGAGCTTTAATGGGTTAAGCCTTGTATTCACCAATCAATTGTGCTTCAATCAATTCCATGCTAAAAAGATAACACTAACTATATACCTTTAAAAACTTTTGAGTTCACTTATTGCCCATTTATATCTCTGTTGCATTAAAAAGCCACATGCTGCCCCCCTTATGCACTGCACAGTTTTACAGCCTTTAACCTCCCCTGGCCAATTATAAGGACTGATTTTAATAGTTAAACCAACAAGAATTACTTTAGATCTGACATATATTTCTAGTTATAACACGCAAGAAAATGCGTGTTTGTACTTCTCGCAATGTCATTTTATCATTAAAAAAACAATAGGCATTATGTACGGTAGAATTCCAAAATCGCGGCAATGACCACGCCGTCACTAAACTAATGTTGCGTTCTCAATCTAGAAAATTGTACCCCATAACAGAGAATCTGCTTCCCATTCGTATGTACATGTAAGCCTCGTCCCACTTAGGTCAGGCTAACCCTAACCATTATCACTATATGGAGGGCGGACTTTCTGTTTCACAGACCTTCAGTTTCATTACACAATATTACGCTGTCTTTTAGCAAAAAGAAAAGGCGTTAAATTGGCTACTGACATGACCTGGAACAAGAAAAAACTGGTCAATTAAACCATTTTGCACAATATCTTTTCAAATGTTTTGGTCTAGTCTAAAATTTGAGTTCTTGGTAAGTCTGGTCCCATTATAATATGTACATTTAGTACATAACAGATCATATAATATTGCACCAACTAAACCATCCTCCTTCTCGGTGTCCTGTATTCCATTTAGGTTTTTCTGGCCCATTGCTTTCACCGTCCTCGAAAGCGTACTCCAAGTCTCCAGCAAGGAGGCGCGCTTCACGAGATCTCGCGTTACTAGGAAGCTCAGTGACTGTGTTCACTTGATTGATATCATATTCCCCCAATACATTGACGTCTTGGGAGGACCAGTGTGTTGTCATCTTTAGATTGTTGTACGCCTCTCTCCTGGACTCCAGATCGGCTTGCGTTGCCCATGCAGCGGGCGTCATGGAAACCATTGTAACATAGCGCCACCTACCAGGGTGTTGGCGGCCTTTGATTGGCCGGATATTCGCGTGAACGGTGCGCGAATCCCAGATGACTATTGATCCCTTTGGCGCTGGGATTCGTTTCACCTGGCATCCTCTGTCTTCAAACCATTTTATTTCACCAGGTTTTTCAAATGGGTAAAAATCGGTGATGGTCGACATCTTTACTGCGTTGGGAAAGGTGTTGCAGAATGCCTGGTGATACTTGTGAGAGCCTAAAATCGCCTACAAAGAAGCGGTTGCAATCAGTTTTGAACATAATAGTAAGATTAAAGAGAATAATTTCTACCGTGAATACAGTACAGTGATTTAGAGATAAACAAAAAAGTGGAGCAGAGAAATGGGGTACGTGGTCTGGCGCCGAACAAAAGCTGTTACAATTCTATAATATACACACACAGGCCTACTGCCTACTTTTTTAAGAGCACCGTACTGCGTCATTGTGATAGGTGCGATTGCTGGGTGTGACATTGTGTTAGCGGTGAAACCTGTACAACACGGAGTTCATACCTGAAAGCACCAATCATCGCAGTCTGTGTTCTCCAGGTACACGCCCCCCTGGTAAGCATGCAGTCCCTCCTTATGAGCACCCTGGTCAACGTGAAGCCAATGGGAACCAGGTTCTGGGGAGAGATGAAAACACAGCTCATGGAATGTGTTAGGTGTGACGGTGGTCATGTAGTAAAATATAATGCACAATGGTGCCATGTAACTTTTTGGCTTTTGCCCATACTGATGGATGTTGGAAATGTAATGCATTAAAAGTAACATGGGAATGAATGTGATGATTTAAAGGGGCCGACTGAGCCAAGCAAAATGTGTTATGTGAGACAGTGTCAACAATACAACGCCTTTATTAAGATAAAAAAAATAAGGGGCTAAATACCAGCAAACTCTGTTACTCCATCCTCCGGTGGCCGTCCTATGGCTACAGCGTCAATGCTGCTCCACAGTTTGGCTGTTCCCCACAGCTCCTCAAACACCGCCTTGGACTTCAGACGGATAGCCCACGACGCCTCCAAGTGGCCGACTTTGAAACTAGTGATCAGGCCTTTCATGTTGGATGGCCACCTACCGTCTGGATAAAGGTTTGTGACCCAAGTATAATACTGCTGCCTATAGGTGTCGCTTTCGAGGCTGGATAAGAGGCCCTCGACGACCACCACGCCTTTTTTGTCAAGTTCCTGCTTCATACTTTGGCTATTTAAGCATAAATAAAAAAGGAAAAAGATTAATTGACTGTAAAATTATTTTTTCCTACATATCGATCAGACCAGTCGTCAAATTGAAAATTGAAAGATTGGTAATTAATAACGACTCTGACACACGAAATAAGGTAATTAATAACGACTCTGAAAACATGAAATAGGGCACGCTGAGATTTGAAATTCGCGGGATTTGCACAACTTTTATATAATTGGGCGGTCTAATCAATTGTCCACAGCAGTTAACGTGGTTTTCTGCTTCGATTTTTGGTGAAGTCGCCGAAGTAGAAAGGAAAACTGTTTTTTCGGTTCCCTGTGGATGAACTCAACCAGGGCTAATGGAAAAGACTGTTGTTAGGTTTTGGCAATAATAATAAGTTACTTACTAAAGACAAAGCTGTACCCGAAATGGGTACGTTGAGCGATAACGTTGCAAATTCGCGGTAGAGGGGTTGGTGGTGGTGGTTTGTCTTTCTGGGGAAATTCTGATACACAGCCTCAAATATAGTCTTAAAATAAACGTTTTCTTTACCTCTACATTGTGAAAGGCCATTGCCTTAAAACCACAAAGTTTGTACATCTATTCCATATAAGTTCGTCACATCTAAATTTGCTGAAATGTTTGGCATACTGAATTCTTTTAAGCTGTAGGAAATTTGAAAATAAAAAGAAAACCCTGAAATTAAAGTTATTCGTACTTCAAGCCAGTCTTACCTCCATCCTGGTGCACCAAACTTCACCATTCTGGCTAAACTTTCAAGTCAACTTTTGGTGGAATCTTTTCACAGTGATTGTTTTATGTATCATCAAACAATTAAACATGATAACAAAGCACATCAGTTCTTCGGTTGAACCTCAGGCCACTTTTATATATAGAGAGAGAGGAGACTTATCGCGATGACGTCATCTAGAGGCCTGATGACGTGTTACTAGCCACGTGCGCCGTTACACTGTTACTGAAATATACTTGTCACATTTAGCAAGTCAACGCGATACCCTCTTATCTCCATTGACTTATACTATCTGTATTTACTTATAATCTCTGTACATAAACAAGTAGCGTTAAACCGATTCTCACTTTGAGTCGGTGGCCTCATTTAAAAAGTTAATTTCAAAATTATTATTTATTATTGTTATTTGAAGGTTTGTGTATTGTGTCGGCGCGTAAAAAAATACCCCTCTCTGGCAATTGTCAAAGTTGATAGTTATGTTGAATTATCTAGAAAGGATAAATAGATCGAACATACATCGGGTTTGAATTCTGTACTTAAAAGGTTAAGCAACGCGCATGGAATCTGAATGAGGTCAAGGTATTCTTCAGGTACATTCTTGTCCCACCAATACCGGTACAATGTTATTCTCATCACAGAAGTGTGAATAATGGCCTGCTTTTAACAGAGATAAACAATGGATTACACGTTTTAGATCCATAGTTGATTATTGTTACTACTGAGAATTTGACCTAATTACTCTCCCTAAATGAACTAGTCTTGCACTCTGTTGTGAAATCAGCCTAATATCGATAGCGTATAGGCTTATAATAAGACCTTTATTATATGTGTGTATGCGTCTGTGTGTGTGTGAGTTGATAACGTGACCTCTTTACTACCAATTTGGACGTGAAGACACAAACTAACTGAATAAGGATAATTTACTGAATTCTGTGATATCATGCCGAAATACGGAGACGAACGTTGGTGGTGAGTTACATTTAGGAAACCCATTAAGTCGATTATAGGTGTACGCATTGTAGGACTGGACGTTATAATAAAGTTTCGCGACAAAATATCAGCTTCGTTTCCTTATCTTCAGTTAACGTTACATATGAAGCTAGCGTAGTTTCCATGTAAAGCTTATGAGCCATTTTTACTAGTTTCTTAAAAGACTCAAATAAAATCGACATGCAAAGGCAAAAACAAAATGAATAACTTGGTCACCAATAAATGAGATTTTAAATTGCAAAAGGATTGAATATTTGTGGATATTTCAACCCCTCCCCTCCCCCCCCCCCCCCCCCCAACTTTCGTAATTTTCTCAAAGATTTGAACCGAGAATGTCGGAATCAACAACATAAAGTAGCTAGAACGTTTTCTGAGAATATTTTACACGACAAGTTAGGAATTGATTCATTTTAACAAAACGCGTTACAACCACAGGTAGTACAATTTAAAATCTTTTTCCCGTCATACTACACGTTGAAACAGTGAAAAGCCCTGGCTGTTTTTAGATTAGAGGTCACCAATAACACCAAACTGTTCATTTCAGTGAAGAGGTTCTCAAGGAGCTGAGAGAGAACGGTCTATCAGTCCTGGAAGATGTCATCCAGGCCGAAGAGTGTGACACCTATCGTCAGCAGTACCACACCTGGGTGACGACGCTGCGCGAGGACGGTGAGTGGCCAAAGAGCAAGCGCAGCCTGATCCAGCATTACCGCGTTGGCCACCTCGAGGCCACCTGGGCCGTACGACTCAAGTAAGTTTGGAAGCGCCAAAAAAAAAAAAAAAAAAAAAAACTTCTAAAATTGCACCACACCACTCACACACACACACACACACACACACACACACACACATTCATGTAGGACCTGGCACGCAAATGTGTGTGCGGTGCATGCGTGTGCGTGTGTGTGTGTGTGTGAGAGAGAGAGAGAGAGAGAGGCGTGGGGGGTGGACGCTTCAGTAAAGGCCTACCCCCTTCGCCCCACGCTATACTAGAGGTCAACTCGGTTGATGGCATTAATTACAAACACAATTTCTCGCATTCAGTAAAGAAAAGGGTAAAGAATATACCAGAGACACATCTGTGAATATCTGGAATAAAATCAATCAATAGCCCTAGCTGGTACATGGTAAGGGGGGGTGTCCTCCTTCTCCATTCTCTTGAGCTTAAGACTGAAGTGGTTGAAAAAGGGGAGGGGGGTGTAACTCGCCCTCCTGACCCCTTCCTCCTACTCCTAAATGTATTTCTTTTACAGAACAAAACCGGTGTTTGCAAAGTTATGGGGAACTAACAAGCTACTGTCCAGTATCGATGCTGTGGCGATTGGACGGCCGCCAGAGGGCGGTGAGGAGGAGTTCCACACCCCAGACTGCTACCAGTGGCTCCATCTAGATCAGTCAGCAAAGCGTGTCGGACTGCACGCTTATCAAGGTCGGCGTTATTATTATTTATTATGATAATTATTTTTTATCAAAATATTAGTTTAACGTTCTTCGACAGTTTTTTTTTTTTTTTTTTTTTTTTTTTTTTTTTTTTTTGCAAGATTCCACGTATTGTTTTGCGGCATACACTCAAACTTGCCCACGATGCTGCGTCAAACATGACTCAATTTTTGGACCATATATTCCTCAGGGTCCGTTCAACTGGAAGACACGGCAGAAGACGACTGGTGCTTCGTTGCCATGCCAACATCAGTAACATACTTCGACGAATTTTGCCGAACTTTCCCGCACGGTCCTACCCTGCAGACCAACAACGACTTCTACCGACTTAAGGCAAAGGAGGTGGAATGGTACAAAAGTAAGGGCTGCGAGATTAAACGCATCGCAGCCCCGAAAGGTTCCATGATTCTCTGGGATTCCCGCACAGTCCATGCAAACGCCCCGCCAATGAAAAACCGCAATAACCCCGGCAGATGGCGTTACGTCGTGTTCGTCGCCATGGCTCCAGCGATCTGGGCAAGCGCCGAGGACATGCAAGTTAAGAAGCGCGCTTACAAAGAGTTACGGATGACACAGCACTGGCCGGCGCAAGGTGTTAACTATTTCCAGGATTTGAACTACGCTGGATGCAAAGTTATGAAGACCCACTCGAAGCTAGGAAGGTCTGAGGAGGTCCGACTTTTAGCGGGAGATTTGGAGTACGATTTCAATGATGGCGAACCGAACGGGCCGGAGTGGCGTCCACAGTGGAACTTACCGGCTTAGTATAGAACACAAAATTCATTTCCATCAACGCACTTTTATTTTTTAATTTGTTTATTTGTTTATTTCAAAATAAGTTTGGGCTTGAAGATTGGGCCTGTAACAGTATGCAGTCGCCCTACTACCAGAGGTCGCTGTTAAGTTCATTTGGTCACGTGGATGTGACGTACTTGTGCCTGTTATCAACGAAAAGACATATTTTACAATTAAGATCAATTAAAAGCACAGGTTGTGGACGTAGTTGTCCCTGAATTGGACTAATGGCGATCTTATCTCTTACATGCTGAATATTGATGAATAACTGTTCCTTGGGCTGACTAAATATTCCTCATAAAATTTAAAATAAATCTTTATTATGTATGACATGATTCAATTTAATGAAAAATTGATATATGTATTATAACATCTATTAGTTGTACCCGTTTCAATATTTGTCGAATTCATATATTCAGAGTCAACATATCTTTCATAGATACTAATATATTCGAATTCGAACCTTACAAATTTTATAAACAATAAAATAAAGGTACCTGATACCCTTTGAAATGTACAAGAAGATTGGGCAGTCATTTAAAAACTTAAACATTGAAATTAATATCCAAATGCCGGAACGGATAGAGCAAGGATTCGTAAGAAGAAAAAAATCGCTTTTTTTTTTTTTTAGGGAAGATTCATAAATTCCATAAAATCATTAAAAATATCTATTAGTCTAAGCGATTATTGATTAATTAATTGGAATTTCAATTAATTGATTAATTAATCTATTTATTTACTTTACTTTACAACAAAAATTTGAATCAAATTTCGTCGGTTTTTAAAGTTTGCCAGCATTGAGAGATACTCTAAGCATTTTTATACTGACTGACTGTGTTTTTCAATTTTTTTAATTTAACAATTGCCCCAACATAACCCCGGCCAGCTCTTCATATTAAAGCTCGTAGAAATCACTTGCACCTGTGAGATGACTTTTTCGCATGTCCGTGCACCGATGAGCTTTATCCAATCTAGTTTCTCAGCAAAACAATCGATATAAATCTTCTCTAACACAGCACATCAGCTCAATTTAGTTAGTACACCACCTTGGTAAAAATACAACCAATCAAAGTCAAGCATCCCGCTTTGTGCGTGACAGAAAAAATAATGTATGTAAATTAGGTCAGATTACAGCACGGAGAGCGAGTGTGTTGCGTAGAGGGCAATAAGCTTTGTGTTTCGCTCGCCGTAAACGGACTAAATACCCCCTCAATGTAACCAACAGCGAACGGAAAGGATAGAACTACGCACACGGAGCCATGATGGCAATTTTTAGACACATCCACGGAGTTTTAGTACTGTTTTTACTATGCCAAACTTCGGGAGAGAAAGACTCGCTGAAGACGGCTGATAGTGGCAGTGTCGTCGCCTCTCCAAAGTCTACGGCAAACAGTATGAGTCCGTCAAGTGCTTGTCATAAAGTACGAGAAGAGTTTGGGAAAACTTTTCCTGGCCACGCTAGCCTGGTGCCGGCGAAAGTGTCACACGGTAAGAATGTGTAATTGTTAGTGCGTTAACTTTAATTGGAATTTCAATTATAATTAGCATAATTTGGAAATAAGATACAAGTTGGAAAAATTACAATCACCCAGCTCTGTTAACCCGAAGTTTAATATTCTGTGACTTGATTTCAGTAAATAACAGCGTTTCAGTATGGGACGTGCCTGTTTTGACTCTGGGGATAATTTGACTTTTCCCCCGTTCTTGAATTAACTTAATTAGTTCAAATTGAAGGATGAGGTTTCAGATTTGTAAATTGCATTTTGCATTTCATGTCGAGTTTCAGTCATTCAGTCTTTATCTTAAAGCTCAGAGAAGCACTGATAAAAATTGCTGCAAGATTTTTTTATATGCTTAAATCATTTAAAGGGCACATTTGAAAAGTTACAAAGAAGGGAAATTGTTTGGATTTGGCAGTCAGGCTTATCATGGATTTATTACTGATGAAAGTTGCTATAAGACAGTAATAGAAAAACATTGAAAGGTTTTATAAAATGTCAAGTTGCTAAGCAGGTGTGATTTACTGTCAGTGGGTAAATCAGTTTGTCACTTTGGGTCATTTACTTGCTTTAAAGTCTGTTGTTATAGTGTCTTTCAACTCAGTAAAATCAAACATCAGGCAATAAAACAGTTCATTTATACCAGCATTGTTTTTAACAAACAAAGTTGGACAAATTAAAATAGTTAATGTTGTCTTTGGTCAATTGATACAATGTATATGACCAAAAACAAATATTTTTATTATAATCCAATTATAGCATTCATATACAGAGGAAGGGCAGAAGGTAACAACTTCAAAAAAAAATGATTTCAATATTTAAAAAAGTACAGCCACACTTGAAAAAATAGTGTTTTAAAAGCCAGGTTAAGTGTCCATATTAACCCGCTGCTGTGGCAATCCCTGAGGTGACAAGAAGTTATTAAGTATTCACTGCGCAGTCTGACAATAGTGTATTCAATACCAAGGCAAGGCAGGCTGCAGGGGATGCTCTACCTGTGTCCTGGTTGTTATGCAAAGTTGGCTGTAAATTACATGAGGTCGGGTTCTCCAGGTATGATACTCGCGTTAAGACAAGGACTTACTTGGACTAGATATAGACTTATTTACATCACTTCTTCATCAGATTGATATAAAGGCTGTGTTTGGACAAAAACAAACTTGGGTTGGTCATAAACTCATTCGTATCACTTTTTGATCAGATTGAAATAAAGGTCGTGTTTAGACAAGGTCAAACTTGGGCTGAAAATAAACTTATTGACATTGCATTTTATGCTGGGGTTCAAGTTGAGCACATGCCACATCCCCAGTCAGTGCCTAGTAACACAAATATGATTGAGTTGAAAGAGATTCCTACTGGTTAAAAAAAGAACAGTGGACAAATGCAGATCTTAATTTGATAACATTTATTCTAAAACACATTACATTCTGTCTAACAAAGCCATTGGCTAGAGTTATATTTAGACCTGTATGAAGTATTTGTTATTCAGGTCACTTCTAGCTTCTTGTAGTATACCCTAATAGGGGGCCATATGTTTCCCAAGAAGTTGTATTCTAAACATGTTGTGCTTCCATTATCTACAACTGAGGCAGACCAACCAGTTATAATAAAAAAGAATATTCCTGTCTTCTCTGTCTGGTGATAAAGTGACCTCAGGTCAGAGGTCGTGACCTTGGGTCAGGGGTCATGACCTAGGGTCTGGGTTCAAGTCTGTACTTTTGATATTAGCATCAGTTACTAGTAACGTTATCATATGGCATTGCATGGCACTTACTATAAATTTTTATTTTTATCATATTGTGTTAAGCGTATATATGAAATGATTTAATGTTTTTTAAACTTGGGGCATGATATTTTGACTTCTTTAAAAGGAAGTTTCAAAGAAACATGATTTATTATTATCACAAGTGATATTGTGACATTTCTTTTTGCAGAAATTAATAGTTTTCAGTATACTTTTATTTGATTTGAATTTTCATATTGAATTTTTCAGTAAATTATCATTTTCAGTAAACATCCATTTAGTCACCTTATTTCTTCAATTGAAGTTGTGAATTCTTAGAATGACAATTATCATATCTGTTGAACAATTTTCAAAGTATTTATAAGGAAATGAATCAGCTCCCAAACAAGAAAAATTACCTTGTTTTGAATATGGAAGATATGATCTACTTTTGTCATATAAGTGCTTGTTGGAGCGCTAATTACAAAGCATGGCATGAAGTGTGATAACTTACAGTTCTAATGGGGGCTGTAAATGTTTGAATTTAGGAAGGAACAGGAAGACGGGGCCCCTGAAGTTAAGATAATTATATATATTACCTAACAGATACATTTGTTGCAAAGAAAGTCAGGTGGCTTGTTAAATGTTGTGTCTGAGAAGTGGATCTGGTTGCGTAAACTTACCAAAAGATTACCAATTGCTGGCTTTTTAATTTTCAAGAAGAATGCTGAATTTAATTATAGGTACACTGGTAAATTTGTATATGGTTATTGCATGGGTTTCATTATTTAAATGATCTTCCTGTAACATGGAGAATAATTAGCTATGTTATGTGCTAAGAATGAAGCAGTCATTTTTTTCAATCAACAGTTAATATAAAAAATATTGTTTTCCTTCAATATTTCAATGTCTACTTGGTGAAGGTAGCTATTTCAGGAAGAGACCTTAGGTATGAATATTGGGGATTAAACAACATTTTCAATATTATATTGATTGAAGAAAATTTACTATTCTTTTCCTAGTAAGTTGTTTACAAAGGTAACAGGAGCTCCCTGCAAATCAGTCAAGTTGTGTCAAAAAGCCATCCCTATATTACCATTCATCGCCCATCGTTGCACTAACTAAACACACATATTGTCGTTAACTGCCTTCCTCCATTGTGCTCGCGGGCTCTTCAATATGTGACCTTCGACCTGCGTCATGTTATTCAATGTATGGGGATTAACTACAACATAGTTACTTTAATCTTATTGTCCCTGACAATGTCCCTGCCCAAGTGTTATTACAGGACTGTGCATGGGATTATAAAAGGCCATGGCTCATTGGGCCGCAGACTTAAAGTGGCCATTATGTTTCCCGAGGGGCACTAACCTGTGACCTAGGGGGCAGCAAGGGACAAAGAACGCACATGATGTATAAGGAGGTTAGGGCCGAAAACTGTACATTTATGGTTTTTGATTGTGATGAGGGATGGGGGGGGGGGGGGGGGGGTCTTTAATAAATTGAAATTTATTCATATGAAAGTTCAGTTGGAGATTTTTAGAATTTTTTACAAGACTGGAGGTAAATTTACCTGGGTCGCAGGTGTAATCTCTACACTAACTGGGGACAAAGGACCAAGTCTTGGTTGCTTAGCAACCAGCTGCCACAGCCAGAGACCTGCCATTCTTTACCTGTGCTAATTAGAGGCGAACGTTTCCGTCTTATTCTCTGCTTCATATGGTTCTGTGTGGTAATTGGCAAGAGTTTGTAACAATTAGCTGATTTCTACTTCTTTTGTCGAAGATATTTGGCAGTGGGTTCGTGATTAGTCTGTGAAAGAAACATTCAGTTTGGCAGAAAAAAGAAAAGAAATCCTAGTTTGGAGACAGAATGGCGGTAGCGGAAGTATTTGGATTGGAATTAAATGTTTGTTCAGTTATATGCTGGGTCGGGGGAATAAGAAGACAAACAAACACATTGATTTAAAATAAAGTGCTGTAACAGTTTGTCTGGTGGGATCTGTACATCATGTGATACAAGATGCCGGAGATGTAGTCTAGACTCTTCAGCTATTCATCACCTTCTGATGCTAGTCTTTGGTTCTGTCTCCTAGCTTGAGGTGAAAATAGTCTGCCTGCTGTCTGTCGGCAGTTTATCTTAATTTGACCACTGTATCTGAATCCTAATACCAGCATAGAATTTAAATGTTTATTATTGCTGAATGTCATGTTAAATTAAGTTTTGTTCTCTTCTTTTTCTCTAAGATTGTTGAGAGGAGAAAAAGTGTTTGTTTTTTCTTTCAATTTAAGATTTTTTATCTTTTAAAAAAAATATTTTCATAGATGTCCACAGATTTCAGTACCAGATAAACTGGGGAAAAGTTTTATTGGTCATTATGACCAATTTCTGTCTGTGAGAAAATCACCTCATTCACTTACAGTAATGTTATCTCTCTCAGTGACATTAAATGAGAGTTCTAGCTCTCCGCCTGGTTGCTCCATCACCCATACATATTCCAGCATAATAAACCTGAACCAAATTGGCTAAATTGGCCAAAGAAAATGTTATATATTTGCGTCCATAAAACATATCATTTGTGTCAAATTTTGTCTTGATTTGGTTCATCATTTTGATGAAGCTTTGGAAGTTATCTAACAAGGATCTCTCGTCGGAGGCTCACCCCAGCCCCGTCTAGACCAACTAAGTAAATCATGACTTAAAGATTATGTAAAAAGCATTCAGAACTCCCAGTGGTCTCTTATTAAGTCCTTTGGGATGAAAAAGCCCACCTTTTCCTTTTGATAAGAGGGCAATTATGGAGATAAAGGGAGGCAGTGGAGCGCGTTGGTCCCAAGATGGCTGCCCTACCCTGTCATCAGTTGGGTCTGTCCTTGAGCTCATTCCCAGTGACACTGTCATTCTACATAGATCCATCCAACTTGGTGGGATTAATGTTTTGGTAAAGTAAAGTGGCAATTAAGTCGTTATTATGTCATTCCAATGTAATGTCCACCATTCTTTATTCATTATCCGTACATTTATTCTCTGTTGTGTTTGCCATTCTCTCTCTCTCATTTTCTCTCTCTCACACATTATCTTAAATGTATAACAGTAAACAAGCAACTGCTGGCAAAAGTTTCTAAATAACAGCAAAACCTGGTATAAGTAATGCATCCTAATTCTCTCTTTCTTCCCCCCCCCCCCCCCAAACACACACACACAATCACAAATTTCAAGACAATAAAAAATGATGAATCAGCCAGGAATTGATTCAGCTGGTGTTTTGCCTGTGGCATCCACAGAACAGGGACATTACTCCATAAAACACTTCACAATGACTGCGCAATTAACTTAATGGCAGCATCCATCTGCTGGCGATATGTTAGATAATTGATGATAAGACCAGTTCTGTCTTCTAGGTTCACTGGACTGCTGACTGTGATTTACTTTGGGATGCGTTTCTTATTATATATATTTATATGTATCTAAAATAAAATAGTTTGATTTACTCATGCATTTGATTGATTTCACAAAGCATTTGTTTGTGTTGATTATAAACATTTGATGAATCCATTGATTATTTTTTACACTTAATTTCTTTATTGAAAAATATAATATATAGGAGAATAAAGATTCCAATATTTTATCTGTATAAATGATAAATGCAGAGCACTCTCCCATCAAACACCCAAACTAACACAAAGGTTCTTTATTAGATTTGAACCCACGAGTAATTTGATTATTTGTTTCTTTATTACTTTATTTTTGGATAGAATTCCTGGAGAGATTTGCTGGTTCAGAGGAATATGTTTATTTGGGTACATTTTTGTGTGATGAAGAACGCCTTAAAATTTGTTTAATATGAGGTTTACAAGTGCGACCAAGGTGAAATCTCCCACTCCATCTAGCCTAATGCTCCTCCAATGGGATTTTGATTCAATTAAGAACGGATTTAGCAGCTCTATGGTTTGCCATTAATGTCTGCTAAATAGGCCACTTATGTGAGATTTTAGTGAAGTTTTACCGTCATTATGATTGAAGTGAAGAGGGAGGACAGTGCATCTTGTTCCAGATTTTGTGTATTGATGTTATTTTAGATATTGTCTTTTAAAATGTCTCCATTATTTTAGAGTTAATGGATATTTGAACCATGAAGCAATCTTACATCATGTAATTATATTTTTCACCTGGTTCTTTTGCTTTTGAATTAACCTGGTATGGTAAACCTGGCCATTTAATTCATCAAAATTTGTCAAGCTTAGGCCATGTGACTTCATTATAGCAAAGACAATCTTGAGTAAATATTAGTATAAAGTTACCATGAAGAAACTGCTTTTGGTTGACCTATTAATTACTTTTAAATGATATTTTTTAGATATTTATTGTCAATGAGTTTTCAAAGCTAACTGCTTGACCTAGTTTCAGGTATTGTACCCCCCTCAGCCTCACAGTGTGTGTGTGTGTTGGGGGGGGGGGGGGGTTACTCGGTGGTTAGACTGGGTGTCATAAGTGATGATCTTGTCTTCAAGACAGGGAAAGCTCTACCAAGACTGAGTGGAGACACTACTCAATACTTTTCACTGAAAATAAGGCTGTATTCCCAGAGCTTTTAGATCGATCTATCCCCGCGGGGAGTCTCACTAGATTACTGTCAGATAATCTGGCTTAAATGTCCGCCCCGCCTACTACAAGCTGTAAGGGGGTAATTAACTTTCGTGTCCGGCTGGCTGACAGCTATTTAGCGTGAACCCCCAGGGAGTTAGGTCGACCTAAAGTAGAACAATCTAATCTCTGGAAATGGGGTCTAAAAACACCACACCATGGATAGAACGTCTGGAAACTTCAGACCAACTTTGTGATCAATAACATTATTGTAATATCATCATAATCAGCTTTGCCTTGGTTTGACAAACGTCTGTAGATTGTGGCTGATTAAGATGATGGCTCACATCAAACTAAGCCTTCCAGTTACGTATCACTTAGCAACAACGAGGAGAAATGTGAAGCCATATTGAATCTTCTGTTCAGAATCAATGCAGGACTGTTTCACATTGAAAGTTTTGGTTGACAAAATGTCTACTCACTCTTGTTTTGTCACAAAAAATGCTTTGTTATGAAACTTACATGTATTTTCTTGTCACATTAATAATTATCATAATGCTCACAGATATAATATCACAGTAATTGTAAGTAAGTGATATAAGGACATATTTTACCAATTAACATTATCAAACTGATGAGGAACTTTCTGTCAAATGTGTAGCAGGCAAATTGTTAAAAAGGATTTTTAAATACAAAAAATGGAGTAGTTAGAAATGTCTGAGTTGTGACAGTAGTTGCCTGCTAATTACACAAACAGATGGTACACTTCTCAAACAATCTCTGCCATGTTGAAAAAATTGATTAGCATTTTTATCAGTATACATGTTACTGCTTGTATAGGGTTATGCTCCATCTGCAATAGAACAGAATATTATGTAAGTCTTCTATCCACCCTCTGTCACTTTCCCCCTTTGGGGAAAGATTTTATGAAAGTGAGGGTTATGACATTTGCTGTGTGCCTTAACTCTATTTCTGTANGAGGGGGTAATTAACTTTCGTGTCCGGCCGGCTGACAGCTATTTAGCGTGAACCCCCAGGGAGTTAGGTCGACCTAAAGTAGAACGATCTAATCTCTGGAAATGGGGTCTAAAAACACCACACCATGGATAAAACGTCTGGAAACTTCAGAACAACTTTGTGATCAATAACATTATTGTAATGTCATCATAATCAGCTTTGCCTTGGTTTGACAAAGTCTGTAGATTGTGGCTGATTAAGATGATGGCTCACATCAAACTAAGCCTTCCAGTTACGTATCACTTAGCAACAACGAGGAGAAATGTGAAGCCACGTTGAATCTTCTGTTCAGAATCAATGCAGGACTGTTTTACATTGAAAGTTTTGGTTGACAAAGTGTCTACTCTACTTGTTTTGTCACAAAAAATGCTTTGTTATGAAACTTACACATATTTTCTTGTCACATTAATAATTATCATAATGCTCACAGATATAATATCATAGTAATTGTAAGTAAGTGATATAAGGACATATTTTACCAATTAACATTATCAAACTGATGAGGAACTTTCTGTCAAATGTGTAGCAGGCAAATTGTTAAAAAGGAATTTTAAATACAAAAAATGGAGGAGTTAGAAATGTCTGAGTTGTGACAGTAGTTGTCTGCTAATTACACAAACAGATGGTGCACTTCTCAAACAATCTCTGCCATGTTGAAAAAATTGATTAGCATTTTTATCAGTATACATGTTACTGCTTGTATAGGGTTATGCTCCATCTGCAATAGAACAGAATATTATGTAAGTCTTCTATCCACCCTCTGTCACTTTCCCCCTTTGGGGAAAGATTTTATGAAAGTGAGGGTTATGACATTTGTTGTGTGCCTTAACTCTATTTCTGTAATATATTATAATCAGGTCATGTATGTTTTAAGAAAATACAGTTAAATTTTTGAATGACATTGTTCCAGGAAAAAAATTGCCCCTTTCCCTTAGTTTTATGTTTAATAAGAGTTTAATAATGATAAAATGTTATAATTTCTTTCAGATGACGACATGGAAATTTGCTACAGAGGGAGGCAGCACAAAGGGCAGGAGAGCTGCTGTAATCGCGCTATGGAGAGAAAATACTTGAAGGCGGCTGAAAAAGATTTGGAAGAAGTTGTCAAAATTACTAATTCTTACCTGAAAAATTTGGTCACATCCAGTGCAAAACAGTTTCAGGGTAAGTGACAAAAAAAGAACAATGTCTCCACCAATAGATATGTTTAAGATCAATCACTGAAAATGTTGATATGTTTGATGCCCCCCTCCCTTCATCTCTCTCTCTCTCTCTCTCTCTCTCTCTAACACCAAGTCCACGACAGTGCATGTTTCCATACAGAGAGCCTTGCATATAATCTCGGAGTGGTGGAATTATTAAAGGAATACAAATGTGAGGCTCTGTATTCAGATCACAGCCAAAGCAAAGTATCCTGCTTTGCTTATATGTCCATGGAGAGATTTGAACAGTATGTGGGCTGAATATCCTTTTTGGGTTTGGTGTGTGTGTTTTCATTGTCTGTGACATTATATATACAACTGATTTTGATAAAGGAAACAATATTTTAGTTATCTTTTTCTAACTTTTCTTTTTGACAGAAATGTTTTGAACTCACTGGTTAAAGCAAAATGATAAAAAGTATGTGACCTGCAAACGTTTTTCCTAATTTATTATTGAGTCAGCTTTAAAAAGTTTTTTTTTACCCTGCCTTTAAAAGAATTGTTGCCAGTGGGAAGCTGGCTATCCTTACTGTTAGGGCATCACAGGCAAAAATCAATGAGGCAGAAGAGAAAATGGTTTCTTGAGGAACTGAGATAAAAATCAATCATGAGTTTTGTCTCCTGGGTTTTTAGGCTACTAGATTAGGTTCATTTTGACTCTGAGGGTGTCTTGCCCAACAACTTCCATTAGTGTTTCTTCTGTTCCGACAGGTTGCCAGAAGAGAGCTAGTTCAAGAGGCTGAAGCTATAGTTTTTCTTACTCCAATTTAGTCAATTAGAGTGCAAATTTCATCATCCATCAGATGTTATCATTGTAATTGTTTGACGATGAATGGCAAGCTACGGGGATTGAGGTAGAAAAGTTGGTTGTATACAGTCTGACCTGTACAGCTCTGTTCTAGACACTTTAAAGTTAGACTGTTTGCATTTAAAAATGTCCCAAAGTCATATTTTGTATGTCTACATGTCCTGCTTTATATTTCCAATTTAGACCTAAAAATGATCAAACTTGTTAAATAAAAAGTATATGAGGTTGACAATTCCTTCTTCTATGTACAGGAGGGCGTAACAGCCTAAATGGCTAGCCAGACATTTAGGACTAAATTACTTGATTCGAAATAATATAGAACATGGGATCTGAGTGCATCGAGCAATGATTTCTGAGAAGAAAGAGATTGTTTTTCTTGATTTAACAAGATTTGGTGCAAAAAAGTGAACTGTTTCCATGGGCTGGTCTCTCTTTGGTTCACTGGATTGTGCAAGATGAGGCAAGTTTCCAGACAACTTATGACAGTTTAGCTTAGAACCAATCAACACACACCTGATATTGTTTGTTATCTAACCATGACATATTAGTTAACTGGGCTATAAAATGGTGGAGGGAGGGGTTTTTTTTGTGGGGGGGATTGTAAAAAACTTAGCCTCTGTCTTTATGCTGGTGCATTATTTGTACATTCACTGCTGTAAACGTAGAGAATTTTTCCTAACTGCAACATTGGGTGAAAAATATTAGGATAAGATTTGCAAATAAACCACATTGTATAACTGTTTCTTTTTATTCTAAAATGGATGTTATTGGCAATTTGTGATAGAGATTTAGCTTTACAAGTCCAACAACAAAATATCAATAACAAAAGTGTTCATGCTTATGTACATGAATAATTAAATATAATTTGAAGTCTCGGGAGCAAAATTAATTTTTTTGTCAACTGCGGAGAAGCCAAAGGCCAAACACCAATGATGAATGTTGGTCCCAGTTCGTTTTGATCAATACTGGATGACAATGACGTCTGTTGACAGCTCAGAGTCAACGCGGGGTCGGGTACTTTGGAAGTAAGAAAGTCAACAAAGCGAGTGTATACAGAACAATCTAGGCAGTATTGAGGTAAAACATACAACAGAAGGCTACTGTACACGCGGCTTAGAACTGGAGATGACTGTAGTGTACTTTACTGTTAGGCTCAGTTGACATTGCGCGTACAATTTGGTTAGCTTATTTGAAGGGTTTTCTTGTTAGCCCATGTCAGTACTGGGGTCTTGCAGAAGGACATTATTTCTTCCATTGTGCCATCAAGTGACATCAATATAGAATATGGTAGTTAATATAGGAAAACAGTTTGTAAAAAACAGTTGAATTAATTGTCTGGTTTGCTTTGAAGTTATTTACTTGTAGATGTGTGGCAGTTCAACTGAAATCAATTAAACAAAAGGAAATTTGTGGAAGTGTGCAATTAACATTGGCTGTGTGATGACAGTCTTTTGGGTGGTGACACTCCATTAACCTTGTCAACTGTGTCTGATTTTTGTAATAATGACACTTTTCAGACAATTCCCTTCTTTCAAAGATCATGTCATAAACTATTCAATAAACCATTATATGCCTTAGATTACTAAAAAACATTGCCTTCCCACAGCTCTTTTGTGTGTATGTATTCGGAATTTCCTACAACCAACTCTGTATTTCGGAAATTTCGTATCAGAATTTTGGGTACTTTAACAAATAATTCCTTTGGGAAGTATACCCAATCAGCTCTGTTGACTAGGGTAATTACTATATATTCAGTAAGGAATTGAAATGGACTGCACCCAATTTGGGATTAATGTTGAGTGTGAGAAAATACTGCAGTACACTCGGGGGATAGAAATTGACTGTGTTAGGAAGGTGTATGGCAATGAGTAAAGGGGGCTGGGGGGGGGGGGGG